GACCATGAGATGATCTCTTTGGACAATGTACTTTTAAGTTTTGAATTCCAACTAAATACAGAAAAAATAAACCAACCCTGTACTGATCCTTGAGTACGCAGGCAATTAAGGTTCTAGCAATGACTAAAAACTTTTTTTTTATCATTATACACATAGATTTAAGTGGGAGAGTGAGGGAACAATCAAGCCCTCTATCAGCACTTCTCTCTTTATGTATTTATGGTGAGATTGCTACTACAAAAGGAGATAAACTTACAATGTCTGCATTGTATTTTTAAAACACAAATTCATTTCAGTGGAACTTGAAAGTCCTTCAGTGCAAGCACCTAGAAAAGAATTTATTTGCAAAATAACCTGCACAAGATTTAATCTCCCTCTACTTCAATTACTTGTGTTTCACATGAAAAACTCATAAAATTGTTGTGATTAATGTTAGTTCAAACATTAATTAAGAAATTAAGGAATACTTCTATTTGCACTAGTTTTGTAATGCAGCGTCTGTCCTATGAAACAAATTGCAAACAATTAAAAATAGAAAAGTGAGACACTTATAACTATGGGGCAAGCGTCACCTCTGAAGTATAAACAGCTTGAGGCTTTTATTTAGTGCACAAAATTTCTCTATTCCAGCTCTCTAGTGTCAAGGAACCAACAGAAAATGATTTCTAATTATAATCCTTGGAATTCGTGTTGTCAAGCTATTTATTACTATCATCATTTCTTAGATGTTGAATTAGCAGAAGGATACCGCTATTCAAGTTTTGTCGTTATGTCTTTTAATACTACTGAGTACATGAAGGTTTTCCTTCATTTCCAAAATTATGAGCCAATTAGGATTGCTTTATGAGTGGAGAATCAAGCTGTCCACATAAATATTTAATCTTACAGAATCTACTTATTTCAGACCAAGTTAGAGGTTGCTTCTTCCTAATATATTTATTTAATGTGACAATTATGCAATTGTTTTTTTCACATGATTATATTTTATTTTCCTTGGAAATCTTGTAAAAATTACAGCGTTCTCCCATAACAATTTCAGTTTTCCTTTCATGAAGGAAAGGAAAACTAACTTAACTGCAGTTACAATACCAACCTTAAAATATACCAATATATTGTTAACAAAGAAGCATCTGTTCCCAGCCACAGTTATCAATTAGAAATGAATTACAGAAATGCAACTACACAAATCAAGTGAGAAAGTCATAAAATATAAAATGTTATACTTCTGATGAAAGTTTAGGTTAAAATGGAATCAAGATTGATATAAAAAGATAACTTTGCGTGAAAGAAGCTACAGAACTACCCCCAAACTTAGCATCATAACTAACACAAAATTCAGACATGGTCACAGGTAGAAATAGAATATATATATTTAATTAATTAATTATAATTACACCTGTGTACGAGGCACAAACATTACCTTCCCAAATCCTACAGACACACATGAAGCATTTTTCCACATTCTCCTCTCTTACAGTATATATTTGGGGTCCTCTTGGTGTGGAAGAACGCCCCACCCCCATCTTCGGGTCCTGGGAAGAATATATGAAGAAAAAATTATTTTGATAATTTTATAGATACAGAAAATGTTTTATTTTTTTTTAAGGTGAATTATAGCTTAAAAAAGAAAAAAAAAAGTTAAAAAAAATGATTTAGAACTTAAATTAGGAAAAGAATTGCCACAAATTGAACAGAGAATTGGAACTGTATCATTATTACTCCACTGAAAATGTTGGCCTGATACCAGGAGCTGAATTTCATAAAGGACTTTCTTCTCAATAAATCTGAACTAAGAAATAATGGCTGTATTATAAACATGGAAGATAAATCTGCAGCATTGCTCATAATATAGCATTCCATCGAATCAGAGGATGGCCTGGGTTGGAGGGGACCTGAAAGATCGTGTAGTTCCAACTCCCCTGCTATGGGCAGGGTTGCCATCAGAAAGCAGAGCCAAAAACAGAATCAGTGCGACCGCAGCACAGTGCTCCAGCAGCAGTGGTCAGGATCAGCCATCTGATGAACAAGGTCAGAGAAAGTCCATCCAAAATACTTAAGCAATTAAACGAGGAAAAAAAAGCCAAGAGATGATGATTATTTCTGCTGACTGCAGTGTATGAATTCACGTACTCAGCCCAGTGGGATCTCTACTGTGAAAAACTTCCTAGAATTTTAACTGCAGTGAGTTAGAAACCAAAATATTGCTCTTTTCTGCTAACCCACAAAACAATAATACAGAGGACTTATTTTTCAGGAGACCGTTTGGAAATACCACATTGAATCATGTCAGTAGCTAATTTTAATATGATTATTGGTAAGGGAAGCTTATTTTTAATTTCTGTTGAAGACTCCAAATCTTAGACTGAGTGTGAAGTCACTCACAACCATCCAGTACTGACCTAAGTACTTCTAAGAAATTTCCATCACTTTAATGACACAGACAAGAAATGTGTAAATAAAGAGGCAAATTTCAAAAATTTTACTTGCTATGTGCTCATGAAGATGTTATTGGGACCATACGTAGGTCACTCTGAAAGTAATGTCTCCTATTTATTTCCATGCAAACTAAAAAGAATACAAAGAGAACAATAACATCATTTGATAAGAGTAAATTCTCTGCTACAAAGTGCTATTTTTCAACAGTCACCACCATTACCCATGCACTTCTGCCAGCAATGAACACAAGCCTGCATGCTGTGCTCATAAAAATCTGGATGAGTATCTGGAATGTAGCTTCTCTTTCACGTCTCTGTCACCATTGCTGAAATGCACCATCCACCTCACACTGTACTCATAGACACTGTTCAGTCTCCATAAATGTTCACAGGTGTCAGTGAATGTCAATGGGTGCCATTTTTCCTGCCAGGAGGAGTTCAGTTCCACTCCCTTGCATCATACACTCGCAAGTCAGATGCCACTTTGTCATCTGTTGCCATCTGTCACACGGCAAGAAAATGTAACGGAATACTGTCAGGAAGGTTCAGCCTCCACTGCCAGCCCACCAACATCTGCCCCTGACAATGTGGGGCAACATGATCGCACGGGAGGCATTGCTTTTGGAGTAACTCACATATAACACCCTGTATTCAAGCACCCATGCAGCTAGCAGTCATCTTTACTATTGTCTACCCATTAAATCAATAGCTGCAGGAGGTTATTTGCATTGCCTGTACTCTCTTGGGGGAACACACAGTTCCTCTTTGCTTTTAAAATCTTGGCTAAACTGTGCATGGAGCATTGATTAATCCTTGGGAAGGAACACAAGCCCTCGCAAGTTGCCTGCACATGGCTGCTGAGAGCTACTGAGCAGCAGAGTGACTTACAGGTCAGCTTTCTCAATGGTCATATCACAGAATCACAGAATCACAGAATCACCCGGGTTGGAAGGGACCTCAAGGATCATGTAGTTCCAACCTCCCTGCCTAGCAGGGCCACCAAACATACACATTTAGATCAGGTTGCCCAGGACCCCGTCCAACCTGGCCTTGAACACGTCCAAGGACGGGGCATCCACAACCTCCCTGGGCAGCCCGTTCCAGGGCCTAACCACTCTCCTTGTAAAGAGCTTCCCCCTAACATCCAACCTAAATCTTTCCTCCTTCAACTTGGATCCATTTCCCCTAGTCCTGCTGTTGTCAGCCCTTCTGAAGAGTTTACTCCCCTCCTGGGTGTAGGTTCCCTTCAGGTATTGATAGGCTGCAATGAGGTCACCCCACAGCCTTCTCTTCTCCAGGCTGAACAAGCCCAACTCCCTCAGCCTGTCCTCATAGGGGAGGTGCTCCAGCCCCCTGATCATCTTAGTTGCCCTCCTCTGGACCCTTTCCAAAATCTCAGTGTCTTTCTTGTACTGAGGGCTCCACACCTGGACACAGTACTCCAGATGGGGCCTCACAAGAGCCGAGTAGAGAGGGACAATCACCTCCCTCTCCCTGCTGACCACCCCTCTCCTGATGGAGCCCAGGATCCCATTTGCCTTTTGAGCTGCCAGAGCGCACTGCTGGCTCATGTTAAGTCTCTCGTCCATCAGGACCCCGAGGTCCTTCTCTGCCGAGCTGCTCTCAAGGACCACTCCTCCCAGCCTGTACGGGTGCCTGGGGTTCTTCCGGCCCAAATGCAAAACCTTGCACTTTGCCGTGTTGAACCTCATTAGGTTCACCCGAGCCCAGCCCTCCAGCCTGTCGAGGTCCCTCTGAATGGCATCCCTTCCTTCCACCGTATCAACCGCACCACTCAGCTTGGTGTCGTCAGCAAACTTGCTGAGGGTGCACTCAATTCCCTCATCGATGTCATTAATAAAGATGTTAAAGAGCACCGGTCCCAAGACAGACCCTTGGGGGACACCACTTGTTACCGGCCTCCACCTGGACATAGAGCCATTGACCACCACCCTCTGTCTGCGGCCTTTCAACCAATTGCTTATCCATCAATTCGTCCACTCATCAAATCCACTTCCCTCCAATTTGGAGATGAGGATGTGGTGGGGGACCATGTCAAAGGCCTTGCTCAGGTCCAGGTAAATTACATCGGTCGCCTTCCCTTTGTCCACCAATGCCGTCACTCCATCATAGAAGGCCACAAGATTAGTCAGGCATGACCTTCCTTTGGTGAAGCCGTGCTGGCTGTCTCGGATCACATGCTCATTCTTTATGTGATCGAGCATGTTGTCCAGGAGGATCTGTTCCATGATCTTCCCAGGCACGGAGGTGAGACTCACCGGCCTGTAGTTCCCCGGGTCCTCCCTGCTCCCCTTCTTGTATATGGGAGTGACGTGACCCTTCCTCCAGTCATCCGGGACCTCACCTGACAGCCACGACTTCTCAAATATGATGGAGAGCGGCTCAGCAACCACCTCAGCCAGCTCCTTCAGGACCCTGGGATGCACGCCATCTGGCCCCATAGACTTGTATTCATTCAGTCTAAGGAGGCACTCTCGGACTAGCTTTGCCCTTACAGTGGGGAGGGATTTACCTCCTTGGTCCCCACATAGAGGTTTGGAAAATTTATCAGAAAATTAACAAAACTGATAGGAATGTTTGTTATTTTTGTTGTTTTTTTTTCTAAGCACACTCACAGTCCTGCGTGTTTAAAACTAGATTGGCCAATGGAGCAAAGCACTGAGAAAATGTTGAAGCCTGATAACATGGCAAGAAACTTCACCAAGCAGATATTCCCATAGTTTGTTGAACAAGTATCGAAAGCAACAAAACAGAATTTCCAGGGTTCAGTGTTGTATGGAAAAATACCTACTGCCTTGGGGGTGATACAGCAAAAAAAGGTTTTATTGCCATATTTGGCACAAGCTGGTTGGGAGCTCAGAAGCAGGTGGATAAGACAGCTTAAAAAGTGATGGGGTGGAAGAGACATTTTTCAGCATGTTGTTTTCTTAGTGGTGTGACAAAGTAAAGGTGCTTGAACTGATTCCATTTGCAGCTGTTTCTGGGCTGTGGGTTCTTTCTCACATATATACGTTTCATAAAGAATCACAGTCCAAGAGCATGTGGATCCACATGTGTGTATGCATACACCTAGGCCATAAGGAAGGAAAATAGTCCTGGGGCAATGGCTAAGGCAGTGCAGAGCAGTGAGTCTCCCTGTTTTCTGCATTCCCTGGAAGCGATGAGATGAGATGAAATGCACAAGAGCATCCTGCAAAGTGAGCTGCTCTCTACAGGTCACCAAAGCCTTGCAGCACATAGCTCTGCACAGTGATCCCACCAGATACAGGTGTGTCTTACAGGAGACAAGCACCAACAAGGAGCATTCCTTGCAAACAGCAGCAGCAAGAACAGTGCTCACTGCAGACAGTGGCTCTCTTTAATGCTTAAAGGGAAGAAAGCATTTTGTCACTAAGGTGTTAAATGTCTATAGCTTTTAAAATAAATATTAGGGGGAATAGCTTTACAACTAGAGCGTTAAATTAACTTTGCCACTTTTCCTCACTGAAAAATATGATTGGAGTTATTAAGCCTTACTAAAAGGAGATTAACTATATTTTAGGAAAGAGATTAGAGTATAAATCCTTCTATCCTCACCAGAGAGATGAATATGAGTTTATCATACTGTTTTATTCTTGTCTTTCCCATATTCTCTCTTATTCTAATTTTTCTAATTTGAGTTTCAGATCCAAATACCTGCAGTAATACCTGCAGTAATAGCAATTTGACCCCAGGTTAAGGAAAACTATAAAACCCACCAGAGTGTGGTTTGGCAGGGCACATTCTGCCTTTAAGTGAGGATTAAAATGAGACTGATTGCTCAAAATGAAATAAACATGTGCAGATTATTGCTCAGTTACTATTCAACTGAGAGGCTAGTCATCACAGCAGTTTTCCTTTTTATGGATATGATTTAGGACTTCTTTTCAGATACTCAGGAAACTCAACTGCCACTGATACCAAAGCTGCATTAGGATTTTAGTTAGAATTTTAAGAAAAATTAAATCCGTAACACTGTCCGAAAGTTACACTGAGAATCGATCTTAAGGCCAGCAAGAAGGCCATTAAACCAGAGCTTTTGTGAGAAGTTCAGCAGAGATTAGAAGAATTTCAGGAACCTGATAGAGATTGAAATTATTAGAAGTAAGACATTTATCTTAATTCTATTTTCATAACAGGAGACAGCCCTCTGGCTGACATTTCAGAAACCAGGAGCTTGTAAGAAAATCTGAGACATTCTCTGGGAGACTAAGGGTGATTAAAGCCAGTTTTCCTGTCTGTGTAGAACCTATTTGTTCTATCAAGGCTGCGGCTCAGGGACTTCCAAGCATGGGCCACTCAGCTCAGATATGCTGCTCAGCAAGCTTACTCACCTTGGGCAAAACATCAGGGGAAGCATCTGATCTGGAAAGCTGATGCAGAGCTTTTTAATATACAGAAGACCCTGGAAGACATCATCTTTTTATCCAATTCTCCTACACTTGCTTGCTGTGAGGTAGCAACATAAGATACCTGCACGTTCTCCCATGCATTGATAACTGTAAGTCAGGGGAGAAAAAGAATTGTGCTTTCCCTGCAGCCAGTAATGGTTTTCTACTGTGTCAGTGCATTGCCTTGCCTCCTATAACCTTTGCTGCAAGTGTGATGCTTCCTCAATACAAGGTTTAAGAGTTCAAGAGGGAGATTTACAGAACTTCTGTAGTTTCCACGAACACAGCTGAAGAAATTGACAGTTTATGTAGTTTGGGTCTTTCAGCCTCAGCACTGAAGGTGTAAGCTAAAGGTGGGTTGCAATTCCATCTGTGCTATGATTTCTAAATCAGGCACAAGCACCCCAGTAGCAATGAAGCACTACGATTTTGTTTGTTTCAAAACAAAACAAAGAGGCCTGAAATCTAAAGGAATAAATATTTTAAACTCAGTTGTATTTCAGACTAGCTCATCTAGCCATGTTTAAAGGTAAAGCAGAAGTCAGAGTTGGAAGACCCAAGGGTCCTTTTCTAGCCATTAAGGCCTGCATTGCAAAAGCCAGAAACTGAAGATGCTGCAGGGAAGTGAACTGGAAAACACTGGAGGTTCCCCGCTTACAGCACTGTTGGACCAACAAGACAAGGACTTGGATCTGTGAAACATTTCTCAATACTGTGAGAAGTCTGAAGATGGAAATTTTAATTAAATTTAGTTCCATCAAATACTTTATAGTAGAAAAAAATTTCCTGCTTCTTGATCAGTTACCTTTATGCTATCACATATTTAAACCATTTTCTGCAATCTCACTTGCCAAGTCATTTGTAAGGCAAAATGACCTACAGTAACACATTTACTTGAACTACTCCTGAAGGAGGAAGAAATTTTATCTACCACGCTGCAATGAGGCCAACAAGTTGCCATGAGTAATCTGCACTTAAACACTGATGATCACGTTAACTCAATCTGTTTTCTTGATTACCAGTACACTGAAGTCCACACACCAATTATGACCTCTTCCATTTCTGGATATAATGTTCATGTGAAATAAACAAGTTCAGCGCTATTCTCTTTAAATCCTCGTACTGGTCGCTATCCGGTTTGCTCTTCTGAGAACTTGGAGATCCTTTACATATCACCTTACTAATTCCAAGAAGTCAAGTAAATTCTCTTTTCTGAAAATAAGTCATCAGTGTTTGGTCCACCATCATGGTTTCCAGGAAGGAAATTACAGCAGTCAAAACAATCAAGCATTGTATTCTTGGGATGGATATTTTGACACCTTGAATTTTGCCATAGAAATTTCTTCCATTTGAATGAATCAGAAAGCTGGGAAAAAATGAGTAAAAAAAATAATACAATAGGCTGTGATTCATGTCTTCGCTGTTAAGTGGCTACATGCATTCGCACCATGTTAGCAAGGAAAAGAAACCCAGGCTAGTATATGCAACAGCAAATATGTGACACATCCACTGGATTTCAAAGCTGCATCTCTGACAAAGTACTTTGACACCATCATGATGAGTCCAGTAGGAAAATATGAACGCAAAGTTAGAAGGAATAGTTGAAGAAATCATCTTCTGGCAGTAGGAATCCTTTCCTGAATTAGGTAACATTTTAGTGGCAGAATCACAGGCTTGGAAGGGGCCTCAAGAGATCATCGAGACCAGCCCCCTACAAAGCAGGTCCTTACAGCAAGCAGGCAACACAGCTCAGCATCCAGGCAGGTCTTGAATATTTTCAGAGAAGCAGAATCCACAGCCGCCCTGGGCAACCTGTTCCAGTGCTCTGTCACCCTCACCATGAATAAGCTCCTTTAGAACTTCCTGTGCTCCAGTTTATGACTATTTCTCCAAAGACCGCTGAAAAGAAGCTGGTCATGTCCCTTTGTCTTCCAGTGACGTTAAGCATGATGATGCTAAACACACATGGTTCTCAAGATGATGTTAAACACAAGTGGTCTAGAGATTTTGCAAGCACCATTTGGTTTCTAAAATCTTTTATTTCAAGCCTGAAACTTGACTACAGGTGTACACTGACTTATCACTATGTAGAAACTTCATGTTGGCCTGCAGGATGCAGGGAAGTGAGGAGGCAAGCTGTAGGTAGACATGACAGCTACCTAATGGCACCTATGTCTGAAGTGAAACGATTCACCATTTTCCCTACTAATACCAAAGATATGGTAGTGGGGAAGGAGAGTTTAGGAAACTGCATCATAAGGAAGCGTGCATTCTAGTAATGGTTTGCTTATGCAATTTTGAAACTACATACTTTAAATTGACTACCTGTACAACTTGGCCGATTGTTTCCAATAACAAGGTGGAAATACAGATCACATCTTTACTACATAAAGCAATAAAACAACAGTTGGCAGTCAGTGCTTGCAAACATCCATCTTGCCAAAACACCCAAGGTCATCCAAGGCATCAGTCACTGGCTCTGCACACACAAGCTGAGGTCTGGTGGTAGCACTGTCTGACAATCAGAATGAATTTGTTTACTTATGAGACAGTGTGCCTCACTCTATGAAACTTATAGGAGAAAGTCATTTCTCCTATAAATCAGCATAACGTCACTGATCTCACTTATCTGTGGCTGAGTTTGACCTGTAACACAGGTTCACACAGTACAGGCAGGTGCTGCACCTGTAGTTCAGCCATCACACCACAGGTGTGGTGTTCTGGATATGCAGCACAGACCTACACGGCTCCCTTGTGCTTTCTAGCACCTCTCAGAAGTCAGCCCTCAAATGTCAGACCTAATGAAAAGAAAGCCAATATAGAACAAGGGTGGGCCCCCCAAAAACCATTAATAGACTTTATGCATAGTAGCATGACTTACACCATCCTCAGCTCCCCTCCAAGCAACAAAATATAGAATAAATTCGGGGTAGGGGAAGATTAAAAAAAAAGCCCAAAATTTTGATTTTGATAATCAGTTATTTTCACTTCAAGGGTGACAGAACAAAGAAAGTTCAACAGAATTTGGAGATCTGTAACTGAGAAGTTTCACTTCAAACATAACAAAATCATTCCAATAAGCTTCAAATTAAAAATTCAAACATTATCCAAATACATCATTAATTTAATTATTAGATAAGACAACTTAATGTGGCACTAAGTTAAACCAGAGGAACTTTTTTCTTTAATTTTTCAACAAAAAGCAGAAAATGCTTTTATTTTGACTCAAAAAAGGTTTTTTTTCCCCACATTTTGATTATCTTCTGAAGCACGTCTCTTTTCTGCCAATCACTACAGAAAAAGGTTGTGTGGAGTCACATAGCACATAAATGAGAGCAACTAATGTTGCAAATACTGATTTGAACAGGTTTTTAACAGTTAAAAAAAAAAAAAGTTTCAATTTCAGAAGTTGTAAGTTAGCCTAGATGAAGGGGAAGAGGAAAGAGAATTAAATTTCCTTAATCTTAAAAAGTATATGTTTTTATGTGATTTTCTTTGGGAATCAGTCTGGCACACAAAACTGGATTTGTACCTAGTATGGGCTGCATGTTATTTTCTGAAGATTTTCAACTTTATACGTACTCAGCAATTTACGAGATTAAAGTAACTATTCTTGGCCAAAAATAAAAGGCAAAATATGCTTTCAGAGCATGAGCGCTTCTTTTCTTTCAGAGAATGCACTCACAGCAGATCAGTAAGATGACAAACCAAACCAGAAATTGCTATTTTTCCTTGTGCTGGATTTCCAAACCATTGTGATGACGCTTCACAAGCAAACAAAGCAGGAAGTTTCAATATTGTAGTACTCCTTGGCTGTAAGCACAAAGTTCTGTTTCATTGGTAACAGGCAATAACATTCACACACAATAATAATGGCCCTACGAGTTTCTAATTTTATCTGGTGTGTTCAGGCAGCTTTAAGCCCCTGAAAGGAACGGCCCAAGGAGCAGGAAGGTCTCCCAGACACGGCCATCTCCTGCTCATGGCCATGTCAGTACTGACCGCAGCATGATGCATCGCCGCAGGGCAGACAGGCCACGCAGACGTGACTGGGTGCTGATGTGCTCTGGCTGCTTACATTCTCGAATAATATCATGCATGTGGTGCAGAACAGCAAAGAGAAATAGTTACATTTGACATTTTGAGGAGCAGAGAGGAAGAACTGTGGTTTAGTATGCTCCCTCCCACCCTCCTGCAGCAAGCCCCCCACAGCCTGACACCAAGCCTGTTTTTCTTCAGTCTGGATATCAGCACAGGAGACGTGAGTGCCGGAGTGTTTTGCAGTTTTGCCTAGCAATTATCTTCTATCTTTTGATAACATGCTGTACACTACTCCTTCACACTCAAGAGCTTTCCTGCCACAGGCATTCTGTGAAGCAGCTCTGGAAATTGCTGTCCACTTAGTTTGGGGTTTCCTATCCTTTTTAAAATATTTATATTGGAACAACCTATTGAAATATGCAACTGTGTACAGCAAATACCTTGAAACAGGAGACAGCCAATTCCACTGCCTTCATATAAATGTTTTCTTGCTGCAGCAGAGAGAAGCCAAAATACAGGGCTGGACTTCAAGTTCAGACTTAAACTACTGGAACATGGAAATGAGTTTTTCCATTATCAGACAGAGCTTTATTTAGCCATTTGGGGAAAGATTCTCAAATCACACTGATGAGGCTAAGGAAGGTCACAGAAAATGAGAGAAAGCCTCTGTCCAAAAATCCTGTCCAAATTATTTCACTTTATAAAATTCTAAACATGGAAAAAATACAGGAAAGGATAATAATGGCAATCTTCATGAACAGCTGTGGGATACATTTAACTTGGAGAGGGATAACTCCAAAGAAGCTTTAAGCCATCCTTGCAATCCCCACGTTGGCTCCAGATGTGCCTATTCAATCACAACATATCTCACAGCATCCTGCTACAATTCAAACTAGTTATCTCTGACCCTGGGGCTGCTGGAGTTTACTACAAGCAGTGTGTGTTCCCTTGCAGCATCTCTATCTGTTGACAAGATGGAAAAAGAACGGAGAAGGAAGTTGAGGTCTTTTTAAAGCATTTAGTCCACTTTCAATTGCTTATAAAACTGTGATTCTTTATTGCATTTGGAAAGAACAATATATATTCATTTCACCTTAAGACTTCATTTCTCCTTCATCTTCTTTTGTACCCCTTGCATCACCACTGCAGTATTTCCTTATTAGCTATGCCTCACTTGCTATTTAGAAGTCCCTTTATTTGTTGGAATTGCATCTCTGTGATACAATTTTACCAATTTTTTTCTTGAGAAAAAATATTACTGCATCAGGTGTTTCAGATAAATGAGAAGTTTATATATTTTTCTTTTGGTGTCATTTCTCCAGCAAATCATTTCAAGGCACTCATTCAACGCACTTGAGCCGAGTGATGCTAATACGTTTTCTTTGGCTGATATGCTTTTCTTAAGTTCTCTGATCAGAACTATAAAAGTAACTGAAATGTGGCTTGTTCATGTCGGATGTGCAACAGAATCATAGAATATTCTGAGCTGGAAGGGAATTGCCAAGTCCAACCCCTGGCTCCCCACAGGACAACTCAAATCACAGAATCATAGAGGCTGGAAAGAACCTCTGGAGATCATCTAGTCCAACTCTCCTGCTGAAGCAGGGTCCCTACAGTAGGTTGCACAGAAAAGTGTCCAGGCACATCTTGAATATCTCCAGAGAAGGAGAATCCACAACTCCCACCCTTTAGATATTTATACGCATTGACTAAATCACCTCTCAGTCTTCTCCTCCTAAACAGTCTCAGTACACAGTGTCAAAAGCCTTGCAAAAATCAAGGTGCTCTGCTCTCCACTCACCTATCCAGCCAGACACGGCATCATAAAAGGCTACCAGAATGGTCTAGCAAGACTTCCCCTTGATGAATCCATGCTGACTACTCCTGATAATCTCCTTCTCTTCCAATTGCTTGGAGATGACATCCAGAACAAGTTGTTCCATCACCTATCCACGAACAGAGGTGAGGCTGATTTTCCTGTAGTTTTCTGCCTTCTCCTTCTCGTTCATCTTGAAGGCTGGAGTACACTGTCTACCCTTCAGTCTTCAGACACCTCTCCCGTTTTGAAGACGATAGAGAGCAACTTGGCAATCACTTCTATCAGCTCCCTCAGTACTCATGGGTGCATCCCATCAGTATCCATGGATTTCTGTGTGTTGAATTTGTCTAGATAATCTCTGATCAGATCCTCCTCATCAAATGGAAGTCTTCCTTTCCCCAGACTCTCTCCTGAGAATCTCCAGGTCTGGGGTTCCTGAGGGGCAGTCTTAGCAGTAAAGACTGAAGCAAAGAAGGCATTCAGTAACTCTGCCTTCTCAGTGTCTTCTGTTACCAGGAAACTTACCTCATTTAGTAGTGGACTCGCATTTTCAATAGTCTTCCTTTTACTATTGATATACTTAAAGAAGACAACAGTCCCATATTTCTCTGAAATGGTCAGACCCTTTATCCACATTCCATAGATTTGTTCCTTCATTTGAGTTTTTCCATGAGCTCCTTGCTCATCAACGGAGGTCTCCTGCCACCTTTGCCTGATTTCTTACTCTTAGGGATCCACCACTCTTGAGCTTAGAATGTCAACCAACTTGTTTGGGCCCACATACTTTCCAGTGCTCTTACACGTTGCCCTGTTTCTTCCATGTAAGATCTTGAGCTTCTCTATCTCAGAGTCATTGCATTAAGGCTGCCTACAGACTTCACATTTCCAACCAATTCTTCCTTTTTTGTAAGAACAAGTTCCAGAAGTACATCTCTCCTTATTGTCACCTGCACCAAATGCATGAGATAGTAATCTTGCATGCACTGCAGGAATCTTCTGGACTCTGTGTGCTTGGCGGTGGTGCTTTTCCAGCAAATACCAGGGTGGTTGAAGTTCTCCATGAGAACCAGTGCCCACAGTTGTGATGCTACTTTCAGCTATCTGTGGAAGACCTCATCAATTTCCTCTTCCTGATCAGGTAGCCTGTAATAAACACTCACAGTGGTGTCATCCACATTTGTATGCCCCTTAATTCTCACCCATAAGCTCTCCACTTTTTTCGTTACTTATTCCTCGACAGAGATCCATACATTCAAGTTGTTCTTTCACATAAGGAAAAACTCCACTGCCCTGCCTTGCTTATCTGTTTACATTTAGCCATCCACAACAGCATTTGAGCTGTCCCATCATGTCTCCATGACTGCAAATGAAACCATGGCCCTGCAATTGCACACACACCACTAACTCTTCGTGTTTACTCCCCATGCTGTGTGCATTGATATACAAGCATTTCAGAGAAGAAAACTGAGTAGAGGACAGAGGTTTCCCTAAAGGGATGTAAAACAATCCCCCATAGGTATACACACCCTTGAAGTGGCTGGCCTTCAGGTTCATGCAATATTGCAAGACATAATCTTGACTAGGCTACAGTACTGGAATATAATTGATACAAACAAAGCCTTGAGAGGTTTCTGGAAAAAAAGAGAAGAGCTGTCAGCACAGACATGTTAACATCACTTGAAGTAAGCAAGAATCAGAGCCAACAAGAAATGTATTAGTTAAAATAATAGAGAAGGTGAAAGCTCCAGGACAAGGGAAAGCTCTCTTTCCCTTAGAATTTGGAATCCGCCAGATTATAATACCGTTGGGCTAAATGCCATTAATACCATGTCAGACTAGACAAGAATCCTCCTCGGTCGCTGATTGGTAGTTGTAACAAAGGAATTCTTCAAAAGGTTAAATGAGGCAGCAAATACCCAAAGAAACAAGAAAAGGCTGGGGGACTATTTATAGCCACTTTGTATCTTTTAACTTTGCAAATCTGACATACCTGTCAGTCAGGTAAGGCAATTAGCCCATTATTTTTACTGTAAAGGAGCAAAGCCAAAGAACATGTTGAAACTACTTAGATCAAGAGCTAACACCAAAATTTTGATCAAATCACTATACTTTGTACCAAGAATTTTGATTCCCAAAGGAAAAACTAGTTATGAATCTGACCTTTTTTTTTTTAAAAAAATATTTTTTATTATTATTATTTAAGATTAAAATCAACATATTTAAACAAGATAGCATCCAACACATCTGACTGGTGTGTCAGTTGCTCATCCTAATTGAAACAATCTTGTGTTCCACTATTTCAAGAATAAATTCTCAAAATGTTCATCTCCTAATTCAAATTTGCCCTATATTGGATGCTATGAATAAATACATAATTATCCTTAGAAAGTAAGAAAGAAATTTTCACCCAGAAAAAGAGCAGAGCCACAACACAGCGACTAGAACATGAAAACAATTCTATGGCAACAATACTAGCAGAAATTGTAAATGACTAGGTTCAGCTGCCTAGACTTGTAGTTGAGGGCTGATAAGGTGCTAAACCCAGGCAGGCAGGGAGACCAGATCCAGAACTCAAGAGCTGCCATGATAGCAAGTCCTCAAAAAAGGCCAGAGATGCAAAGGCTGGTAGCCCAGGCTGCTCCTCCATCTCTAGGTCCACAATTAGACCAAGACTTACTAGATGACAAGAGTTCCCTTGGCTGGTACAAGAATGGACCTGTATTATCTTGAGAGGATAATGAAAAAACATCATTTGGAAAGCAAAATTCATGTCCACAGTCTTTCTTTACATTCATTCAACCTGTACTAATTTCATAATCCATAAGCAACCTAAGCAAATGGGAAAAAAAAGCTAGCACCTGATAAAACAAATATAATATAAATATAAACAAATATAAACAAATATAAAACAACATCGAAAAGACAGAGATGGTTGTTTAAACTAAGGAAAGTGAATAGTTTGAAAACGGTGATTGAGAGTGTTGCTCATGGCAGATTACTGAAATGCTCTGTGTGTGTTTTTCTTCCATTTCTTTCCACAGAAAGAGAGGTACCTGAACATCACAATGCTGGGCTACATTCTTGGTTGCCAGAAGTTTGCTGCCATAAGCCTGCCCTGGGCCTTCCCGGCAGGAAGTTACAGTCTTGCAATGAAACAGGAATCAGATTTGTTTATTCAGTAACAAGCACTGAAATTTAAATCTCAAAATACCCCACGGAAAATGTGCACAAAGACATAAAACCCCAAGTTCCTTTGCAAAATTTCATCTAGGAACACACACAAATAAGGCCCAAATTGTTCAAAGAATTCTCTACACTTAAAGGGCAAATGTTAACTAGAAAAGTAATTTCAACTCATTAAACTTCTAATGTAATTACTCAGTTCTTCCAAGGAAACAGAATCATTTCTAGAACTCACCATCTGCCATGTCTAAATGGGTGTGGAACAGGAATATATATATGCACATAATCATATGAGACAATATAAAATACACATATATTGAAGCTTTAGTAAAATGCTAAAACAGAAAAAGCACAAACTAGCCAAAATTTCAACTGCCAGAGGACATTTTCCAGGACTCCTGTTCAGAAAACAAAATTACAAGATTAATTATCCACTTACAATACTTAGGCAGAAGTTACTGTAAGCAGTAGTAGCAGTAAGAAATTACTGTAAGCAGGGGAAGCAGTAAACATGGAACCTGAATTGTGGTCATTTTGCAGAGTATAACAACATTACATTACATTTCAATGCTTTTGTTTCTATGACAAGGAAAATGCAGCAAACAGTCCAGAAATGGACATAGCATTGGACATAGCAACTGTCTGACACCCATCCAAGGAGGAGTGGCTTAGAATAACTGAACTCTTCCATATGACGCAGGGAAACAGACCTAATGACCAATGAAGTGTTCCTTCCAAACATGTTTCTGAGATTATATGCTGATTAAATACCTGTTTGCATTGCCAGTTTATTTCCTCATTTTGCTATAAATTCATCAGACTTACATCTGAATCACATATTGACGTGCATTATTATATTAGGACCTATGAATAACTGCCCACCCCTTTCGTATGTCTGTCCCAGACATTCCTAATCCTCCCGCAACCCTTTTCCTCTTAGGTTTAAAATAATTTACTTTCTCCGCATTCCAACTGCAACCCTTACATACAAACCTCCACCTGAGCCTTGCATGCAGAGAACAAGCATGAGCAGTAGGACATTCCTGTGGTGTATTCCCACAGATCTACCAATAAGATGCCCTCGATACACTGCAAAAAGACAAGATATGCAATTAGTTGATCAGAAAGGATCTGAACCAGGCTTCCCTGCTACCCATGACTTTCAAACTTCAAATAAACTTTCGAAGAGTAACTACCATTAGAGAAAAATCTGAGACAGAGCTTAGGGAAATGAGCAGCAGTGCACTCCCCTCACTGCTAGAAATGGTTTGTTTGGATTTTCTTTAAGACAGGCAAACAAAAGAGAGGTCTGAAATACCTCCTATGGAGTCTCAGGGGCACTGCTCAGAGGAGGATGGACCACGCAGCCGTTCCAGTGCTAATGCAAGACCCAAGCACTCTCATTCTTGGAGACATCGGCCAACTCAGGGTGAGCCAGGTATACAGCAGTAGGACAGCAATGTTTCAGTGCAGCCTCTTTAGACCAAGAACTGGGTTGCTCTGAAAGTAATGCCTCCAATTTATTTCCATGGAAACTGCGACAGATTCAAAGAGAACAATAACATTATTTTATAGAGCAAATTCTCAGCTGCAAAACACACTTTTTCAGCATAGTCACTTCCGTACATTTTCTGCAGCAGTGGACATGAACCACTATGTCATACTCATAAAGATCTGCACCAGCAGAAGCGATCCACTGTTGCTGTCACTGCTGCTGAAACTTACCATCCACCTCACACTGTGCTCACAGCCACTGTTTGGTCTCCATAAATGTTCACAGGTGTCAATGAATGTAAATGAATGCCATTTTTTCTGCATGGAGGAACTCAGTTCCAGTGCTTCATATGCACTTCCATGACATTGTGGGGCAACATTATTGCATGGGAGGCATTGCTTTTGGAGTAACTCGCATATAACATCCTGTATTCAAGCACCCATGTACTACCTGCAGCTAGCAGTCATCTTTACTATTGTCTACCCATTAAATCAATAGCTGCAGGAGGTTACCTGCATTGCCTGCACTCTCTTGAGACAACACACAGTTCCTATTTGCTTTTAAAATCTTGGCTAAACTGTGCATGGAGCATTGATTAATCCTTGGGAAGGAACACAAGCCCTCGCAAGTTGCCTGCACATGGCTGCTGAGAGCTACTGAGCAGCAGAGTGACTTGCAGGTCAGCTTTCTCAATTTGGTTTTGGACTAACCTGCTCCATCAAAATATTTTAAATCTGTTACAAGTGTTCACAACAGATCTCTATAATCGCGGAATCACAGAATTGTAGGGGTTGGAAGGGACCTCTGGAGATCAAGTTCCATCCCCCTGCTAAAGCAGGTTCCCTACAGCGGGTTGCAAAGGACAGTGCCCAGGCAGGTCTTGAATATCTCCAGAGAAGGAGACTCCACAACCTCTCTGGGCAGCCTGTTCCATTGCTCTGCCACTCTGTCAGTGGAGCAACTCCTCCTCATGTTAATATGAAACTTCCTGTGTTCCAGTTTCTGTCCATTGCCTCTCATTCTGTCTCTGCACAACACTGAAAAGAGCCTGGCCCCAACCACTTGACTCCCACCCTTTAGATATTTATACATAGTGATGAGATTTCTCTCAGACTCCTCTTCTCCAGGCTGAAGAGTCCCAGGTCTCTGAGTCTTTCCTCGTATAGGAGATTCTCCACATCCCTAACTTGTCTTTGTGGCACCCTGCTGGACTCTCTGTAGGAGATCCCTGTCTTTTTAGAATCCTTCTCACCTGGTTGATGGAAAACAGTGGCACTCCCAAATTAGTGATACCACACAACTCATGTAAAAAGGAAAAAGTAATAAAAAATAAATGCAATAAAAGACATACATCACTGCATTGGAAATCTATACATGCCAGTTCCCTACATGAATTCAGTAGCAGAACTCCATCTCAATCAAAATTGCCATTCATTCAATTTCAGCAAGCAATGGCTACAACTATAGTGACTATGAGAAATAGATCTCCCAATACCTGGCAACAAATCTATACAGAGATTGTCGGTGCACTGCTGAAAAATTCCACACTCACTCTTTACTAATTGTTGTGGGCAAACAGCAGAAACTAATGTCAGAGGAGAACATTTCTGTGCCTTAAGTAAGAGTGCTCCCTTCTGGTTACAGGTCTGAAGGAAGATCTAAAGCACAGTAATTTCTTTTTCTAAGATGTAAATTCAGAAAATTGTGCACTATCATCTTAAACACTTAATTTAAAACAAACAGACAGCTAGGATACACACAGATGCAAGCAGAGTATTTCAACATATCAGAGCCTCTCACTTCACACTCAAAACATGTAGAAACATGTAGGTAAAAGCACTATTCATAGAGGAAGAAAGAATACCAGAGAAGGGGCATAAGCACTTCAGCTGAAGATTCCCATTAATACATTTTCAAAAGCAATGACTGCGCCATATCTCTGCAAACTTTTTATTAATAAGCAGCATTCATATAAACTTCACAATAAAATGAATACTAAATATTATCCAATTCTGGTAATTGTTTTGATTTTGTAGAAAAATAGTTATTCTTCAACAAGCAATTGAGCCAATTAGAGAATATGGTGAATAACAGCAGTGGTTTCTTTGCTCGAGACGCTGGAACTCAGTTTTTCAGCCAACCATACAGCTCAAAATGATTTCCAGCTGTCACACCTGATAGGCAAAGGAATGCTTATTTTGGTTAACAAAGTTTCCGTTTATGGTTTGGTAAGATTTTTATCCAGTCAGCAAACGCATTTCACATGATTACAAACTGCAATGTGCACAGCCTGGGGGCAGTTTGACACACTTGAAAAAATAAGTAAACATGGGGCAACCAATGCCATTCTTACCTCATTTACCATGCAAAACCATATAGAAACAAACCAAAACTAATCATTTTTAACATGCTTAGGTAACACTGACTAGGGTTCATTTTAATAACATTTGAGAAGACAGTCCTTACAAAATACTTTCAAAATGCTTTCAAAAGATACAAAATACGTTTGTTCATTCTTTTCAGAGTGACTTTTATTCTTTCTTGAGTCATAATTACTCTGCAGGCTTCATTTCTGAAAGTATCCTCCATAATCAAAGGCAAGTGGTTCATATGTAATTACTTTCATGTAATATCACAGACAAACCACGGTACGCGGGTCTCATGATGAAGTGGGAAAGTTTCACCCTACAAGCATGTTGCTGCCAACATTCCTCATGTCCACTCAGATGACTGCATGAAATAAATTTAACACTGTAACTACAGATATGATAGGTTCTCCCTATTTTAAGATAGATCTGCAAATATTTTGTGATATTTTTTAAATACCATATTTCAGCCTTTAAAATGTTAGATAGCAAAACTTAAAATGTATTAACATTTGCTTTCTCAGCCATACCTTCCAAGCTTAGAAAGACAGTGGTACGTTATTAATCCTGATCAATCAGTAGAAGCAGATAGGAAGGCAAACTGCATGTTAGGTGACATGTGCTTCAGACACACGATCCTCTTCCTTTTCAAAGGCAAACACTGACCTCTATGGGTCAGTATTGCACATGTAATGGTGCAAAGTAGATTGTTGCCTTCGTGTTCAAACCACTTCAAACCTCAGCCCAGACCAGCTCAGGTTGGAAGAGACTTCAATAGATCAGGAGACCCAGCCTCACACACTGTGGGTGGCACCGAGCATGGATGGGACCCAAAAAATTTCTCTGCTGCGCATCAACATCTGAGATGGCAGGGACACAATGGTGATGCAGCCCTTGCTGTAGGGCAACAAGGAAGACACACCTTGAGGAACCAGGAAAGAGGAGTGCTGCAGGATGGCCGCCTGAGATGAGGACGGCCTGCTCCTTATCGCTCTCCAAATAGGGTGTTACCTGTGCGTATGTGGCTCTGCCTGACAGAGGGACTGCACTGGGTGACCAACATGCAAAATAGAACACAAATGCAAAAATATGAACTGATAGCTGGCCAGTAAGAAGATGGAAGTCTCACTCCAGTGATTTGAGAGCTATCCCCAGAAAACATGCCTTGCTCTGTTGCAGAGGGCCGTTCTGAAAGTTTTTGTGAAGAACCTGAATGCAGGATAAAATTTTCAGGCTTGCTATGCTTGGAGCTGCAAAAGGATAACATTGCAGCTTTGTGATGAACCAGACACAAGAAACTCACTGCTCTTCTTCCTGCTCCTCATTTTAATTTTCATCAAGTTAATGACAAGGATGCAAATAAGCAGAGTTTTCCTAATTGGTTTAGTATTGGTTTCCATGCCAAGACTTAATCCACCCTTTTGCAACAAAGGTCTATTGAATGATAGACATGATAAACAAGAATAATTTTGTAAATCTTCCTGCAAGTACTCATAATTAAGTACAAAACTATCACAAAATAACGCTAGTAATCAATTTAATAGGTTTCTTTGTGAAATCATGGCACATGCTGTACTTGTTGCTAGCAGACAAAACACAGTTTTACATTAAAAACCTTAAGAGCACCTTCTAGCCTAATGCTGTAGAAGTGATATCTCATCAAAAAATAAAAATAAAAAGAAAACTTGAAAAAAAATGTTAAGAAAATTATCAGTTGTAGATTAAATCACTTCAAAATGGCCTTTCTAGACTTCCTTATGCTTTTTGTCCATGCTAATTTAAAAGGCTCTCTCCATATGGCACACCAGGAACATACATATTTGTGATTTGTAGAAAGGAAAATCTAAAGGAGGTGATGGAGTTATGGCTGAGGTTGTCATATCCAGGCTTTTTCCTAAAATAATGCTGTCTCACAGACAGAAATGAATGCTAACAGTTTCATGTTGTAAAAAAACAGATGAAATTGATAAAAGCACATGTTCAAAGATTTAAAAATAATTACACTGATTATCATACTCAAATTAGGTAATACTCAAACATAATGCAACTCTGTATTGAAAGAGAAGACCTGGAAGTTGATGAATTTACAGTTAGAAATCCCCTGCTTGCCCTCTTTCCCATAAATAAGTCCTCCTCCATTTGCGCCTTGGAAAAGCCCCACCAACTACTTCTTCATTAAAATGAATTCTGCCTACCTGCTACTGGCTGAAAACAGTAATATTATATACAAGTGTGAACTACTCTTTATCATCTTGCTTTTGCCCTTTGGAACACTGCTAGTGAACTTTCCAATTTAATGGGATCTTCCATTAAAAATTAACAACTATCTCATAAAAAGACATTTAAATATCATGCAAGGAAGTGAAAAATTGAAGTACTTGAAATCTCTGAAAGCTAAAGTGTATCCGGTAAGGAAACAGCCTGGGGCTTTTAGCAAATAGAAACCTAATCAAGCAAGAAAGAAAAATAAATGAAGAGAGAAAGAACAAATGTGTACAAATGTGAATGTGTGAGCTTTGAGTCTGCTAAGATAAATAAGGCAAATGTGCTGAAAAGTAATACAGATTTTTTGGGCCTCTTGGTCTCCAAGTTTCTACACCTGTAGGCCTCCCTTTGGCCGTTAAAGCCCCAAGGTCTCTTATCCAGCCACCTGGCCTCCCTCTTGGTCTCTTGGCCCTTAAGTTTCTATACCTCAAGGTCAGATTCTATTCCTTTAGTCCTCTGGGCTTCTAGGTCTTTCTCCAGGCCACAGAGCATCTAGGCACCCTAAATGCCCAAAATACAGCCATGATCTCAACTTCCTGCGTTTAAATTTGAAGATGTAAGGAAAATCTACAGTTATGCTTTGCTTCGTCTTTTCATGCAGAAATCTAGGTGGAAAATTTTTGCAGATCCCCAACACATTTCTTTTGTTATTTTTAAGGATGAACTAATCAGAGTCTATTGACACAGTGAAAACTAATTTTTGTTATCCTTCTCTATAGTCTGATTACTAAGAAAACAGCAACACTGTTTTTCAAGTTTGCTCCTGTTCCTTATACAGTTATACTGTTTCTACTTCATTAACTAACAACAGAGCAGCTGAGGCTGGAGTCTGCAGATCAGCCAGCCCAGCCTCCTCTCAAGCAGATGCCAGGGTCCCTGCTGGGATTTGAATATCTTCAGGGGTGAGGGCTCCATATTCTCACCAGGCAACCTATCCCCGTTCAACCACCCCCCATATATATGTAAATATGAATGCATATATGCATATACACATTCAAAGGCAATTTCCTGCGTTTCAGCTACCACCCATTACCTCTTTTCCTTTCACTGGACACCGTGGATAGGTCTGGCTCCACCTTTCCACCCTTTCATCACGTATTTGTAACACTGATAAAGTCCCTCTGAGCCTTCTCTTCTGCAGGCTGAGCCCACACACCCCCTCCTCTTCTCACACAACTGATGCTACAGTTCCTTTCTGTCCATTTACTGGCTTCACTCCAACAAGCCTGCATCCCTCCTGTAATGGGGAATCTGGACACAGCACCCACACATGCCTCACTAGTGACAGTGACAGTGGCCTTGCAGTGACATCGCCAGCTTCTGCAGCATTTGAGGGTGCATGCTATCAGGTCTCATGGGCTTATATTCAGTTCTTGTTCCCTACTTTGGTCCTCCTTCACTGCAAGGAGGACTCATCCCTGAATCAGAATTTCTGGGCTTGAGGACTGTGATTCTGGCCTGCCTTGTAACCCTAAAGCTGCACAGAGCACAAAGTTAGCAGCCACAGATAACGTGCTTTATGTGGAGAGACAGCTCAAAGGCAAGGACTGCAGAGCACAGTAACACTTGTGCATGGTGCTCTAATCCTCATTCTTTCAAAAGTAGTTCACAGGGTTTCTTTGAACTTAAAAGGAATTATTACAGTAAGATTTCAAATAGAGTAACATATGAATATACTTACCACTGACTGAGCAGAGCTTGGTAGGCAATCACCTGCTAAGTTGTCTGGGTGCTACAATTCTGCTCTACTGCACAGAGAAAACAAGACATGAGTTGAAGGGAAGAAGAAGGACTCAGTTAAGGTACCACAACATACACATCTTGGCACTGCTGGGGCCATCACTTGTCTTTATTTCCACAGGACAATGCTCCTTAAACTTGTCTGAGCAACGTGGTGGGTGACTGCTGGACTTTTCTGGCTGCAGGGCATCCAAATGCATGTGAGCCACTGTAGCAGAGGTTTAATTACAAGTTTTCCATTGAAAACTGCTGCAAATTTAACTGTTTCTTACTGTCACATAGACATTATATTCATAATTCTTCACAGAGTAAAATTCTGCTTCCTTCCTTTTACATTCTGAAAGTATGTTTTTTTTACATTCACAAGAAGATAGGTGTAATTTCAATATTGGCACAATCCTTTTTATAAACAGGAGTCCTATCACAACTCAAATGTTTAAAAGGCAAATAGAGATATAGAATAGCAGCTTTCCTATATACAGAAATGGTTCTCACACTGTGTTTTACAATTCATTTATATATCTTGATAATTTTAATACACCTTACTCTGTAATTCCAAGGTGCCCATTTGTATCTCTGCTTAGGCCCAGTTGTTTTTCTCCCTTCTCAATTATATCTACGCACTAAATCCTTTAAATCTCTATCTAGCCTGCAACTTCATTGGCTCAAACTAATGAACAGAATTTTTTAATTCCCTTATGATAATCCTATTACTCGTCTGAAGCTATTTCTGCAAGGGTCATCATTATACAGAGACGTAAATCTGAGACCAGGTCTATCCATGTTCAGTTGTAATCCAGCTCCCCTCCTGGAAACCATCAAGGGCATTTGACAGCGCTCGAAAAAAGAAGAGTTGAGTGACTGAACCTCTCAGGTAGAGTGATCTGTATGCTGATTGCCTTTCAATCTTTATTTTAGTAAAGGAATAAAAGATGGTTTTTAAAAGTTTGCCACAGCCGCAAAAAGATTATTAGTAGTGTATTAAACATTCTAGTAGATAAACTTCACCGATGCAGTCTGTCAGAAGAACTTCACCTTTGGCATCAGACTGAAATGTAACCGTTCATGCCTTAAATAAATGCAGGTTTTACTCTAGTAAAAGGTGAATCACTCCAGATGGGAGTAATTTTGGCGAAGAGGAAGTATGTTGTAAATCTGACTCCTGAGTTGCTGCCTGTGCCCAGACCATTGGAACAGACATCTGTGTTTAATTTAAGGCAGCTTTTATATTCCTTCCATGGAATTGTACCTCCGTTATTTGATTTTGTCATTGATTTCATTGAAACTGAAGTGCTTTTTGTAACTTTCCTTGAGATACTAATCCATATAAAAGAACGTGCAATAGAAATATAAGCATTTCTACTGCCTTTTCTTGGATTGCATTCTGCACACTGTGAATGTGTGAAAGATGAGTTCAATTGCTGGGGATAATTCACACAATATTTTTATGTCAGAGAGACTGAATTCCTTATTTTCATAGCCTCCAAGAAACTCTAAATTCCAACTTTAGAATAAGTCATTCTTACTCAAGTACCTAATTTCAGGCTTGGAACTGTTTTGTTGCAAAAGAGTGTTTTGTTAAATATTGATATTGGTGTAAAAATAATAAATGAAACATAGTGGATTAGAATGTAGCTGGTACAACATCATTAATTTAAGGCAGGTTGCAACTATGTAACTAAAATTATAAGTAACGTATTATATGAAATCATGCCCCTTTTGAAGCTGCTGAACATACTCTCTTCAAGGCCACTGCCACTGACCTCAACAGAAAGCACATTAAGTTCACAGCTTAAAGGAGATGCAGAGAAGGTTTTACTTAGAAATCAGTGTTTTGCCGTTTTTAAAGGCATATCTTTGTTGTTTGTACTCAAAACTTGAATTTGGTAGTGAACTCAACAGGCACAAACATTTTTCATATGTGTCAATCCTTAGAAAATAGCTATGGCATAAGCAAACATAGAAAACTTAGTACATATAGCAGTTTGGTATGCCTTCGTTTTTTGATACTCCAAGCTGAGTTCACCAAAAGATAAGCAGTCGTGAATTGTATGGTTCTAAGTGGTTTGTTTCCAATCAGCTTACAGAAGTAACATGCTATGACCTTCACAAGCAATGGCTTTTAAAGCTTTGTGCAAGTATTTGAACATTTTTTAATGGGAGAGAACAGTTTAAACAGCCATTCTTCTGCAGCTGCTATCACATAGATCATTAGACATGAATACTTCATCCTATTTCAAAATGGGATTTTAACCTGATCTCTGTTATAAATATTAGTGCCTAATCCTATGAATTCCAATTACAGAACAGTTCAAATCATGGGAAGATGAATAAGGGAATGAGAAATCAAAATAAAAATAATAAAACTTGAGAACAAGTTACACAGCCAAAGACGGTTGGTCTACATGCAACAACTGGATTCCGATAAAAAAGGAAACTCATTACTGGCACCAATATATCTTGACACCACCACAAGACTTAGTGCTGTCAAAAAATATTTATTCCTAATTTACGGAGGCTAAGAAGCAACAGGTACCTCACATCTTCAAAATTCTTATGATGCCAACTGTTCTTATACTTATCTCATCTGTATTTCTTTCTCCCACGCAAATTACAAAGTTAAAGGACATTCCTGACCCCTTCCATCCATTTATTTTTTTTTTTTTAAATAAGTTTTTAAAAAAGAAAAGAGAAGATGGGTTCAGAAAAAAAAAAGACCTGAGTGATACAATCAGAACTCACAGCAGCAGGCAGATAACTTTCAATAAATGTTGTACCAGTTACCAGACCGGACTACAGAGAATAGTCAGCTCTGTTGTGCAACCAACTGCAGATATATCAGGCTGTAATTCTCACCATATGCAAAAGCTCTGCAAATGAAGAATACTTTTTTAGTGCAGAAGATTGAAATTACAAAAAAACTTCATTGGCCTTAAATTTTCATTTTTAGACCTACTGTCTTCTTAGACCATTTGCAGATAGTCAGTACTATAAAACCAGAATATAAAACTATAAAACTCTTATTCCACTAGTCACTTATGGGTGCTAAACTCTCCAGAGACTGTATAGCTGTGTGGTTAGACATTTGTGAGCAAAGAAAGAAAAGAAAAATCAAATTGCCTCCACACAATTTGCTCTGTTTAATGTGGTGACAGGATCTAGAGAACTCAGCTGCAGAATGCAAACCAGCTTTCAGTACTAAGCTATGTGAAGCTACATAATAGGCTCCACTTTAAGGTACACAGGTAATAATATCAGTTGGACTAAATTATAACTTTGCAACTTTCTTGAATGAGCAGAAGGATTTAGTCTGAGTCCCCAGCACAGTAAAATGATTCTCACAGAATTAAATGCAAGCTGGAAAAGCTACAAATCAACATGAAGTATTTCATTATTTTGAATCAAGCATATGCCACAGTTTTTGCCTTTAAGTTATAATGCTCAACACCTACTGAGTTCAAGTGCAAGAGGAATTTTTACAATCAGTATTTCAGAACAGAGCAATTCTCATTCTGCTGTTAGGAAGGAAAGAAGATTTCCAAGAACTACGAGTAGAACATAAAATGAATGAGAAAAATGGGATCTACCCAATACCATGTGGGAACAGTGCTGGGAAAGATTAAGGGAACAGCACACTGGTAAAAGAGCAAGAACTCAAACAAAAAATAATCCTTTCAAAACTACTTCAAGTGAAAGACTTTGTGAATTTATGTCAACTACTGTATTAAGAAATGTTTCAATTTTTCATTGGTAGTTTGAGTTCAAACAGGCATGCTTCAAACAAGATGAGGGTAACAAGTATGGAAAGTATGATAAACCTAAAAAAAATAATTCTATATGCTTGACTGCCATAACAACAAACTCTATTCGATGACCTAGAATCCCTTCCATTGTAACTGTTACAGATAATAGAAGAGAAAGAAGAACACAAGAAATTGCACTGAATTAAAACCAAATAGTTTTTCTCACTGTAATCAGCCAAAAGAAGAAAAAGAAACTTTGTGCCAAGTGTGATTACTGTAGAGACCTAAGCTGGCTTTTAATGAGCTGGGTTTATCTCAGATATTCCCACCAAAGTACCAACTGCATGACAAACCTCCTTATGGTCAAAGTCCTGTAAAAATTATTTTTATGCTATTGCTCTTCTTATTCAAGCTAGTCACCTGAGTAAGGCTCTACAAGCAGTAAGAGCACCAGCAACTTCAACCATGCAACCATGTAAGCGAGTAACCTCAACCACGGTGGGTGGAAGACTCAGGTCTTCTTGTTTCAATCTCATACAAAACTTGCGTAAAACCATCTAAACATGTCTTAAAAGAAAAAAAAGCCCCAACACAGTATCTTTGTTTTGAACATGTTAAAGTAATTAATTAAAATGACATCTTGAAATTAAGTTTGTTTTATAATTGCATACTCTTGCCATTTCACTGGTATAACAATAATTCATAATGAAATCATAGTTAAAACGTTCTTAAATTATCCCATTTATGCAATGCCTTAAGGACAGTTGTTTTGCAAGGAACTAAATATTTTATCTCAATTTGAGATGAAAGCATACCATACTAACAGCTTGCTGTTTTTACAAAAGGATCAAGTAAAATAATTCCTCTGCAGAGACCTACCCTTCATAATTACCGAAATCCTTTTTAAATAGCTAGCAGTACTCAAAGATATCACAGATTATCATTTCTTCTTATAGCAGGATGCTGTCCATGTTTAAACCAGTAAAGGTAATAGTTATTTCTTTTCACTGAGATCCCCTAAGGAATGCCTTTGAAATTTTTAAATAAAGCAGAGCATTTGCAAAGAAAGAAAGAAAGAAATCATCAGATAAAACCTTGCACTGAAATCATGCAATGATGAAATGCCTTCATTGGCAATTTTAAATCCACACGTATCAATGCTAAGTTTTATGATGTTGCCTTTTGAACTCTCATGATATGCAAAACTGGTCCTGGGGGAACTTTATTTCTTTCTTGAAAATCCAAGAAAGCAGCATCTCACTACTGCTAATCTTCACTCACATGTATGCTGGATGCTGTCTCCGTTTTGTTACAGTTTTGTCAGTTTTGGTCACAGATAAAACACGTTTTTGGTCACGGATAAGATATACTTATAGCCTAGCTAAAAATAAGCTCATTAAGGCTTCAGCCAAACAGGATGAAGTAAACCATCAGAAAGAGTTCATAGTATCACAGAATCAAAAAAGACTGCTAAGATCATCTAGTCCAACCATCAGCCCATCACCATCACGCCCAGTAAACCACATCTCTAAGTGCCACATCTCCACGTTTCTGAGAGTACATTTTTCCTAATATCTAACCTGTCTCTTCCCTGATGCAACTAAAAGTCTACTGCCCTACTTCTTGTCCTACCACTACTTATCTGGGAAAAGAGACCAACCCCTACCTTGCTACAGCAGCCCTTCCAGTAGCTGTAAGAGAGCAATAATGTCTTTCCTGAGCTTTCTCTTCTCTGGATTAAACACTCCCAGTTCCCTCTGCCACTCCTCACCCTTCAGCAGCTTCATTGCCTTTCTTTGGACATGTTCTAGGGCACCAATGTCTTTCTTGCAGTGAGGGCCCAAAACTGAACACAGTACTTGACCAGCGCTAAGTACAGAGAGACAGCCATTTCCCTGCTCCTGCTAAAGTCGGGCTCTATCAAATGAGGAAACATGCCAGCCATTTATCCTACTTCTAAATATAGTGCCATTAGACCTTAGGGATTTCCTCAGTGCCCTTGCTACAGCCATGTCCAGGCACTATTTGGTGTCCAGTATGGTCACTCCTCACAATGAAAGCAAAATTTTGCTACCAATATCCATGCCTGTATCCTGTCAAGAATAGTGTGGCGTTCAGTCTACCAAAACTGGCTTCTGTCCAAAACGGTTTCAGGCCACTGAGCTGAAATGTCTTCGAGATATCAGTAATTTTAGAACTTCATAATGTAATAAGCCTTTGTTCGGTATGAACACTGATAAGCCACATAAGACTCTCCTACAATACATAAAATACAGATATAACTTGATGTCACACAGACCTATCTAGTGTTTACTGACTGTTAATTAGTTGAATTATCATTTGATTTTCTTCAGAAATCATGTTGTAACATCAATAAATGAGGCTCTTACCAACTGATTCATAGTTGAACTGTTCTATCAGGAGAGTTAATGCTGTAGCAATCATTTATCATGCAAATCCAATTAACTAATGTCATGATCATCAGTAATAGCATAGGGTTGTTTTTTTTTATTTATGGTACTCTAGGCTTTTGTATCTGAGCTTAATTTTCCCAAAGGGAGAGCAATCTAGCATGCATTTACATCTTCAACACTGGTGAACAGGCAGAAAATCTTCAAATGCTGAAACCATGCCAAAAAGCTTTTAAACACCAACTCCTCTAGAAAATCAGATTTTATTACTCCTAGAGCTCACAGAATTCTTCTCCCTTCAGACATACAGCAAGCTGCATATGTCTGTTACTCTATCCACCTCCAGTGCCTGCTGCAGTTAATTTGAACTCTACAGTCAAATGCCTGCAGCAGCTCACATTTAACCAAGTGTAACATTCTGCTGCATAATCACATCTGGAGGGAGAAGAAAAAACATCATGAGAACATTTATCTATCTCTTGATCTCACATTTTTGATTACCTGACCAGCTGCTGCTATGAGAAGAGATGAGGACCTGGCTGATTTTATCACAGCAGCAATGAAACAGAACTACTGTGACACTTTGCAGAAAGTACCTAGCAGCAGGTTTCCGAAGCAGCTGCACCAAACCTATGCATAGTGGTGTTGCAAAAGTTGGGGATGTAGGACCAGATATCAGCCTCTGGGTTTTATGACAAGGAACACGGTGTTAAGATATTTGCAATTCACTTCCTATTTTACACACCAGAAATTCATGCTGTTGAGTACTCTGTCAGCTTGTTCATGAAATCAGAACTGAAAAAAACAAAGAAATTCAGATATCTTCGCCCATACCTAGGACAGCAATACTGTTACTTCTGTTTTGATTAAGCATTGCTTCTTTTCACATCACGTAGGTGACACATAATACTGAATTTTCTCCAAATTTTGTCACTGGGAGGTAAATTGGCATTTGAATACTGTATTAGTACACACATTGGGCTGGTGTGCATAAAAGAAGAGATTGAAATGAATCACAGGAATGCATAGTAAGATTTTTTCCAGAGAAGATAATTACGTTCCTTTCATTTTCCTTTTCCCCCTTCTCTCATTCTCCCTTGCTCTGCCTTAGGCAAATAAGCTTCCTGATATCTCATGTTTCTTGTTACAACAAGCCATTTTCTGTTGATGCTGATGCATCTCTACACAAGAAAGGAGAATACGTTAGAAACTTTCCAGAAAAAATAAAATACCACTGCAATGAAATTAGCGTATTAAAAGTTGATATAACTACAGTCTGACCGTGGCAAAGGCTAAAATATTCAGAATTAACTTCACAATAGGGCTGTGGCATACGAATGTCTTAGGAGCATCTAGATCTACACAGAAAATTTAGCCCAGAAGTTTTGCCATACATAACTAATTTCAAGTCCCAGGAAAATAATTCAATCTGCTGTTAATGCAAGCTCTGTTTTTGGGGTAGGATAGGAAAAGCATGCCTTTTAAGTCTTTTAAGTCATCACTTTTCTCTCTAAATTGTGACACTTATTTACGTATTCAGAGAAAATCTGTGTAAATGCATTAGTTACTGTATGTAACTACACGCCCAGTATCCTTAGTCTTGGTCTGTAAAGAAAGCACAAACATAGAATTAATCTCCAGCAGGTTGATAAGCCACATGTAAGATTGTTTACAATTTTGCTGGCAAAAGTTCACTGTTTATAAGTAAGAATCTATCATGGGAGCTGAAGAAAATGAGAAATTACTGGAATGATACCAATGGTAAAATAAATAAATAAATAAATAAATAAATAAATAAATAAATAAATAAATAAAAAGCTGTACAGGAAAGGAATAAACTAGGTAATGTAAATCCTATTGAAATTACAGCTCTGCTGTGCTCCCTGTGGTCACATCATATTGTCTGCTTTGGCTCTCATGTTCTGGTTAAAGTAACATGAGGAATAAATTAATTATAAATTCCTTGTTTTATTTCATGTATCTGTAGTTGCCATAAGAGTGTCAGAATCATATAGAGGAGATAGTGTTATATCTGATAATGTGAGTGAAAAGGAAAAACAATTCAGCCCAATGCACTGTAAAGCTGCAGATGGTTGGAATGGGACTTGAGCATCCACCATTCAATTACATGCCTTCTGAACAATTATAACTTTATTTGGTAAATATCCAAGTAAAAAACATACATCTAACTGACACAGCTTTACAGTTCATCAGAGGAAACTTTTTTTCCCCTTATTTAGGACATGCTGATCCCATTCAGGCATCCTTTTTGCCTTTACAACATACACCACTTCTACATGCATATCTTCTCAGATAAGATAAATGTGGAAATTAACCTCCAAACCAGGAAGCAAAGCTTATTACTTTGTGAAAGGAAAACATTCCACCTTTTAATGACTGAAGATGAAGCTATTATATTAGAGTAAGGACAGAAACAAAACACTTCTGCCATTACGAGTTAGCCTGTCTGCTTGGGTCTGTCAGTCCTAAGGGAACACTTCCAAGGCAGCAATGAGCTTCTTGAGAGCACTGGTCCAAGATGGGTCCTTCATCAGTATCCTCTCCTTAACAGAGCACATTCTTGTTTGGTCTGCAATGCCTTACTTTATGCTAGATAATCACCACGAAACACACATCAATTTAATAAAACTGACAAGAAGTTAATAAATACTCTCTCTCAAGAGCGCTTGTCTGAAGTGTTACAAGTTGCTCTCTGTTCTTCTTTCTCAGAGGGAATTCCAACTGGGGCAACTAAGTCTTGCTCCAGAGGAAGGTACTGCTGTTATCCAGCATCAGAACTGCAAGCTAACACAACATCTCAAATGATGGGAACGTGACAAACAAAAACTTCACATATCCCAGAGGATGGACAGAGATAGCCACGAATTAAGAAAATGTGAAATTCAAAGCAGATGTAAACAAATTCTGTTCAATTGCCTAATTCTATCAAATTTGACAATAAAGCTGCTTATTATGCTTACCCAGCCTTTATACCAAATCCGATTGCAAGGTCAATCCTGCCTTTTGCAGATAATAGTAACAAAGTATAGCTACAAAAAAAGCAAAAGCAAGAATGCATGTTGACATACTTTTACAATTACAAATATACATTAAAAAGAAACAGCAAACAAACAAAAACAACCTTTAACCAAGTTAAGAAGAAAAATCATCAGAATTTTTTTTAAAGATAGTTTCTCAGCCAAACTTATTTTGCTGCTTTCTGCAGGCAACTTCTCACACATCCAGAGCTTTAACAGGCAATCACAATCAAACATTACCCCAAACAGTCAGTGGAGATTCACTCAAATTCACAAGTTTAGATTCCCCCAGCCCTCCCTGCAGGGGCTCCTTTCTCTTGACAGAAAAGAACAGTACGAGCCCCTTTGAAGTGCCCACTTCTGCTTCTAGACCTTCACAATTAACTTCTCAACCAATGTCAGCGTCTTGCCTTTTTCATAAAAACTGCTCCTTGGTCTGTCTGAATGCCTGTCTCCAGTCACTGTAGAATCCTAGTTCAAACGCAAGAGATTTTAGACAAAACACAGGGATGAGAAACTGCCAAACACTGAGCTTGAAAAACCCCCCTCAGCAGGGTACTGCTTTCAGTGTCATTCAGAAAAAAGCTCCAACAAATCTTTCAGGAATATGTTAATTCGAGTAGGAATACAGATGTTTTGAGTTCAGAATCTGAATATATACTTTAATATCAACTGAAACATCTGCCCTGACTTTTGCAGGACAACTCAGGTCAAGCACTGAGGTTAAACATGGATTGAAGCTTGTTACCTTAGATATCTACATTTCAAAACGTTGGCTGCTCTCTAAGAAAAATCCTGAATTTCAGGGCATTTACTGCTTAGCTTTTAGTTTTGGGGGGAGGAGGGGGTGGTCTTCTGTGGTTTTGGGTTTGTTTGTTGGGTGGGTTTTTTTGTTGTTTTTTTTCGTGCATTTTTTTTTTTTAATCTTGCTAATCTTAATTGAAATTTGATAATATTAAACTTAACTAATTTTCTTTCTGAAACAATAAACCAAGAGCAATTTTAAAATGCCTGCCTGCCGCCTCCCCTTACAGGACATAGTGACACTATGGAGAAATAGACTGATGTAAAAGAAGTTGAGCTAATTCTCCATTTCAGAGTGAAATCCAGAAATAAAAAGTTTAATTTTATAAAGACAATCAGAATTTGCAGTTGCGTAAGTGAATAATGAAAGCAAATGGCAAACTATAAAACATGATCCATAACATTTCAATTACTTTTCATATGCATAATTATAGGCCTAATTTAGAAGAATTCTTAAAAAAAAAAAAAAAAAAAAAAAAAAAAAAAAAGTAAAAAAAGTATACACATTTTTACCCTGTGATTTTAAACCTAAGTCAGTGCTGTGAAGCCAGGGCATACTGAGAATTTACAGAATTTTCTTACTGACCAAGCCTTAAAGATAATTGAAACATTGAACTGCACCTGTTTCAAATGTTTCCGTCTCACAGATAAAGAACAACGTAACTGCCCCAAAGCAGATAGAACAAATAATCCAATCACCCTCTCATCAGTCACAGTAATCTACAGTGAAGTTGACAGCTTTCTACGTCAAGCCCTCCTGGGTTTCTTTCTCTCATAAAACCTCTTCTTTAAGCTAATAAGGTCCACTCCAGCATTATGACTTTTTTTTTTTTTTTCTCTCAGACACAGTGATGTGTAACTCTATGTGATATACCACACCAGCTAAGCACTAAAGCGTTCACCCACCCATCTAAGTCTTTATCACAAGTCTCAGCAACACTGCACTGGTGCGAATAATCATGCAAGGTGACTAAAGTTCTGAAGGTTGGCTCTGAAAACAGAATTCACCCTCCTAGATGGAAGGTATCACGCATCACTGAATATAAAGGGAGCTGTAGCTACTTCTTCAGGCACTTCTGGCTAGCAGCTATCTGCTTTAGTGCACACCACCAATGACCTGCGCCTGGTGATCAGAAGTGCTTAAAGCTTTCCGCTCCCTCTGCATTGTGCTCGCAACTGGTCTGAAATTCTGACCTCAGACCTTGACGCTGCCTTTGCTTACGTAAAGATGTTAATGCCACTTGCAAATCTAACTGCATATATGACAGAGGATAGATTATTTTTTTTTTTTTATGAGAGACCAGCTGGTTCAACCTTGTGCTTTCAACCTCCCCCCTCCAAGTTTCTTATTAAGCATTCTATCTAACAGAAAGAACATACAGAACATGGAGCAAAATATGAACAATTTTTTGCAAAGGTAGTAACTGTATAGTTACTATAGTAGCAATAAGCGGATTATGTCCAGGGCTAAAGCACATGCATCCTAACTAACCAAATTGCGGAAGTATAACCTCAAACACACAGTGTGTATTCCATGCTGCAGATCACACCCTGCAGTGCACACAAAATTACTGTGAAAGCTTCAATGACATTGGTGAGCTGGATTAGTCTCTTTAGGAATCTGTCACTATTGCTAGCACAGAAAGGCACCTGCTGCCTCCAGTCCCAACAGCAGGTACAGTTTCACATGTGGAAGGCTCTTCGTTCTGCTATACTGGAAAATTACCACTGCCTACATGATGGAGATGATGCAGTGTTCCAGTTACAGTCAGGATCTTTCCTAGAAACTGTCTGGGAGCAACATTTGAACACAGTCTAGAAGAGGAAGTTCAGATCTCACTATTGGATTGCACAGAATGTAATGAGACCAGAGTCCTTCAGATCTCACAATACAAGATTTTCACTTCTGTCTCTGTATTTCTACTATTTTGTCATGGACAAAGACCACAAAAAGGTGAACACCTACAGGAAAATGTATATTGACATAAGAAACTGAAGTCACAAAATTCTATAGAGTTGCTATGGTACTACTGCCAGTCTATTTGAAATAGTGTGCAGACTACAGTTTTTAAGATATTATTCAGAATATATCATTTTGTTTCTTCTAAATTCAACTTGAGCATTTAAGTCTAGACCTACTTCTCTTGGCTTGCTTATCAGGTGCCCATTCACCTGATAAGTTCACTTGGATACAGGGAATTTACGGTTGAAGAATTTTTTCACGAGGCAAGAGCCTCACCTGACACCTGGGATGCACATGCTGGCTAACCAACCATCACACATAGCTCAAAATATAAACATGGAATTACATCTCACTGACAAATATCTTTTAGAGGACACCATTTACTTTTCATCCTTCCATTTCCACAAGTCCAGTAAATTTCATAGTTCATAAGCAATTTTATTTTTATATTATTTTTATGTATTACCTATAACCATCTTATGAACACGTTTTCACATATGTGGCTTTGATGCCCTACACAGCGGCCTCCATCAAACACACGATACTGAAATTAACGGGCTATATTGTGACAATTCCTAGTTCTAATAGGTTCCAGTGACCTCGTGACCCAAAAATAAGAAATATACAAGTAGAGAAGCTCAGTAATTCTGTAGGCTTACAGGAGCAATCACTCAAAAAACAGTAATAGAAGATAAGTGAAATTGAGTTTACAGTCTTTATATCCCAAGTACAAAGCTACCCAGTATTACTATGATTGCCAGCTTCTGCTCAAAAGAGATCACACCTGTGTAATCACTGAAAAGCTTGGAGAATTACACTGTTGCAGAGCACTCTGGAGAGATGTGAACAGCAGCTTTGCCACTGTGCACAGGCACAACGCAGGAACTCCCCACTGATCATATAATTCTCACCTGCACAATTCCATGCAACTAACCACTGCCTTCCAGCTCTGCCATCCGCCAGGTGGTAGGGTCAATTCAGGTTTATGAGGACTGTGTTAACACATGACCTTAAATTCCTGAAAAACAGCACAGTCAGTCAACTAATTGGGATTCACAGACAGCTGGGAAAGTGAACACAAATGTTCTGGTCCATCCATGTGGATTTACACTGTTTGCTTTACTATCTCAGCATCCTGCTGCCCTCAATCTTAAAAATTTGTACAGGTAATGGCTGGGCATATTTCTAACCAGAGACACTTGCAGAACGTGCTTTACAGCTGGCAGAACTCAGCTACCAGCATCCTCATATTTTTATCCAAATATTAGGAACCTATTTTTAACTTGGGAAATACAGCATGCTCAGACCCCTCAAGGACCTCTCCCCCCCCCAAAAAAATCCAACAAAACAGAACAAACCACCAACAACAAAGAACACATCTGAGTACTTCACTAAGACACAGGAGAATTCCCTACCCTCCTGATTGCTATTTTGGAAGGAAGAGTGTGTATTACAGAAGATACAACTGATCCAATAATGCAGCTTCCAATGGATCTCCTCGCAGTTACATGTTCAAATGTGTGTGTCCTCGGGTGCTTAACTGGGAAACACCTGGCTTGGACAGCCTGATTCTTGCCACATCAAGCTAAAAACTATAAATATTTATAACCTCATTGAGAGGAAAGAAGAATAATTTGCATGACTTGCTCCAGGCTCATACTGACTCAGTAGAAGGCTGTGAAGTAGAATTTTAGGAGTTCCCATCTCCCAGGCTTGTGGTCAGCTTACCAGCCTGCATATTGCTAGGATCATTGCCTCATGTCACTTCAATAGAGTGGTGAAATGCAACTTTGTGTTGCTATTATTCATCTAATCTTTTCAGCTTTATTAGGCACAACAGATCACCAATGTATGTTTTAAAGAGAGCTTTCATTTGTTAGGCAATGAGTTTCCACCATCAAACCCTCTCTTTCCTCATAGGAGAAAAAATCTCCTCAGCATCGGCACACAGCACAGCTTCCTGTAGATAATCAGTGTAAGAGTTGAGATGGACTTCCAAGGCTTTGAGCTAGCATGTCCACAAAGCTGTATTTTACTGACATAGGAAGGAGTTTCCGTTTTGCATGTGAGAAGGGATTAGCTTCATATTTCTATTCAAAATCAACTGAAAGTTGAGTACCACGTTCAGTTTTGGGCACCTCAGTACAGAAAGGACATGGAAGTGCTGGAGCAGGTCCAAAGAAGGACATACAAGGCTTGTGAAGGGCTTGGAGAATACGGCCTATGAGGAGAGACTGGAGGAACTGGGGTTGTTCAGTCTGGGGAGGAAGCTGAGGGGAGACCTTATTGCTCTCTTCCAATATCTGAAAGGTGCTTAGAGCAGAGTGAGGCTGGTTGTCTTCTCACTGGTGATAGGTGACAGCACAAGGGAAAATGGCCTAAAGTTGCACCAGGGGAAGTTTAAGTTGGATATCAGGAAATGCTTCTTCACAGAAAGGCTTGTTAAGCACTGAAATAGGCTCCCCAAGGAGGTGGTTGAGTCACCATCCCTGGATGTGTTTAAAAGCCACTGTGATGTGGTGCTCAGGGACATGATTTAGCAGAGAGTTGATAGAGTTAGGGTAGGATGGTTAGGTTGTGGTTGGACTTGACAATCTTTAAGGTCTTTTCCAACCTGAGTGATTTTATGATTCTGTGGTTTTATGAAAGAAAATTGGGTCCAGTAACAGGATTTATGCACAAAGACCTACCTACAGATATACCTACATAAAGAATTTCTACTGGTTTCTTATATACTTTCATCCCAAAATAATTTTGATTGTTTTGATTAATCACCAGCAACATATGTGTGGAAAGACTTATACTCACATTTACTAATTAGAATTACTAATTAGAATTAATCCCAATGCACCTGAGAATCAGATCCCTCGTGTGTTGCTCAGCCACCATTCCATTTTGTCCTTTGGCTCTAATTGGTAAAAAAAGAAGGTGTATATATATCCTCTTGTGCACACTGGAAACACACTGAAGCCATTCAGGTCTAACTCATCAGCAGCTTTCAAATATGCCATTCTTGGTTGTGTGGCCAAGAATTTAGGATTTGCTTTAAGATTCTACCTTAACACATGAACAGTTAAAACTTAATAGACCTGGTCTAGACTAAATGGGAATACTCAAATTGTCTGCCTTAAAATTCCTGTGAACAGTGACATCTGTTCAGTGTTCAGTGACAAATTACAGTTTTCAACTACAAACGAAACCGTTTTTAACCTTCTGACACAGAAAATTGATCTGCTTGTGGAAGCTGCAAGACCCCAAGAACATTAATTGTGATTATCAGGAAATAGCAAACACCACCTTGACCAGATGAGACCAAATGGTCTCTTCAAATCCTGCTGCTCTGTAATGCTCTGGCAGTACCCAAAACTCATCTTCTGAATTCTTCACACACAGAAACCTCTCTCTTCCCTTAAAGAGCAGTGGTTTTACTTCACTCCTCAAAAAAGGGTACAGCTTGGGCACTGCTGTATCACTGTATTCTATGGTTGGTGCCTTGCTCTTGGGTTTGTTCTATAGAACAGGTAGAAGAAAACAATTTATACAATATTTTCTGTTCCTTAAAAGCTCAGATGAGCCAGTACAAGCAGTCTAGCTCCAGGATATTCTGAAGTCCATTGCCAACAGGTACAAGTACTTAGCTGCATGCTCTGTATGAGAAATGAGCAGTTCAGGCAATCCTTAAAAATGAAGACATTGGCAGAATGGATAATTAATAGGTTTCCACTTTCAAGGGGAACAGAGTCCCATTGCAGAAAAGTTTACAAGCAAGTCTGTGCTATATACAGACTATGCTCTGAATATCCTATGATGACTATGAATCAGCAGCCTAGGCATTCTCAGTGTTTGTTCATAGATCTTTTAGAAGAGATTGACGTATCATCCCAGTTGCTTTTTACAGCAAAATAAACTCTACACCTATGTGTATTCTGACCTTCACTGACACCTAACTGCTACAGAAAACTATACATCACGTGCCATCTTCCTGTAAACATATCCCTTTTCTATCCTGTTTTTGTTTTTTTGTGGGTTTTTTTTTTTTTGTTTTTTGTTTTTTGTTTTTTTTTTTGAACCTGCAGCATCTTCTACTCCAGTCACCAACATGGAAGAAAATGCAAACACCAGTTTGGAAGAAGATTTCGAAGGACAAGCAACACACACAGGCAAGAAAACTGACTATACTTGTTTTCTAAAAATAAGCAAAACCTCCTCTGATCACTAAGGAAGCCTAGAGTCCATCTACACTAACTGGGATGCTGAAGTCCTTGAACAGAAATGTAGGCTCCAAATCCATTGAGAATATATTTTGTATTAAGTGACAGCTCTCATGGGAAGGCAGGTAATACCAAACCAATTTCTGTGACAGTCATCCTCACATCTCAAACAAATGACAAATGTAGACACTTGAAAAAGCCTCCAACAGCAATTGCCCAATGCAGATCTTGTTGTTTTATTGTTTCAGTGACAAACAAACTGCCATTCTTCTTTTTGTGGGAAAAAAAACCAAGGTTACAAGGTTCCACAACAAAGGCTGAATTATTTTTTCCTTCTTTTGGAAGGAACATTCAGTGCTGAAATTGCATCTATTGATTCTTTTGGCAAACACAGCATAGCATTTAAAAGCTTTAAAGGCATTCTTGGAATCACAGTTCTTTTTAATCCAGCGCTCGATCACTAATCCTTTTCATGAGTACTGACACTGCACTCAATTCTACGGACAAGTATCACTGCATCCTATCTCCCTAACAGGTAACTATATATGCTTTAAGACAAGCATTCCTCTCTGTGCTCTGAAGGCTTCTTTTCTTGTGCTGTAATAACTTTTGTAGCTCTTGTAATAACTGTTTTTTAGGGTTCTTTCCCAAGAAGCCTTGCTGCTGTTGGCTAAGTTGGCATTTTTCAAAGAGTCAAATGTAGGGTACTATATCAACACTTAGGCTTCTAAATAATTTTTAAAATCAAGTCACTGTATACTTAAAGTGTTATCACTATGCCAAGACTTACAGGTTAATTCCTGTCTTGGAATCTTGTTTGCAAAAGATAGTTCATCTTTCCTTTCCATCTAGGGGGTGTACTGCTTTTAGCTGCCTTTCAAGATATCAAAATCTAATCCAAAACAGACTCTTAGCAACTGGCAACACTACTCTCTCTCACGAGTGGGAGAGCTTAACTAGCCGCTCCTGAATTTCCACAGAAGTAAACTTGATCTCTGAAAACATTCAAATATTCCTTGGTTTTACTTTATGGTGCAAATTTGTTTTGTTTTGACAAAACAACATAGGAATTTTGAAATGAATGTCTTCTTTTTCTTTCTCCATTCCAAAATTTAACCAATTCAATTAACCAGTTCCAAAGAGCAAGATCTGCATTACCATGAGAGTTACTAGACCACTGCCTTACAGGTTACACTTCCAGTGGAATATACATGGACTTAAAAATAAACAAAATCTTGAGGGCTCCAGGATCTCACTTTTACAATGAATTCCAATTCCTTGTGCCTGGTATGCATTCAGACCCTGTCCATAAGGAAAGGCAAATCCACATTTATGAAGCACTGCCTTTGGCCAAGGTATCAGTTTTAAAAAATTTCCACAACCTCATCCTAGTTAACTATTCATGTAGATCACTATAATATTTTTTATGATAATGATATAAACTAGATCACCTCTTCTGGAGGCTAGTGAATACACTGATTGTAATGCTCTGATTCTCAGCCCTCCTGGAGAGTATTCTGAAGGGAAAAAGAGTGGATAAACTGCAGCATAGGTAGGCAAGCGAATAGAGGGCAAACTTGAGGTAGCTTTTTGTTGCCACCAGTTTCTCATCTAACAACTTCTCTCTTAGGGCCCAAAGGTGTGATCAATGACTGGAGAAAGTTTAAATTAGAAAGTGAAGATAAAGACTCCTTACCCTTGAGCAAGAAAGAAATTCTTAGACAAATGTCTTCACCACACAGGTCCTTCAGTAAAGATGATAAAGATACCAGAGAGAGATTCTGCCGTAAGGTAAGAGAAAACAAAACACAACAAAACAAAAAAAAACAAAAAACATTTTGATTCTATATAAAACACACAATGCCATAAACAAGAAAATCCTGAAATCGTCAGCCTTAATTCCTCTGCAGCTTAGCAGAGGTCACATCAGACAAACAAATCAGAATTACTGACAGTAACTTTACTTTGTATTTATACTGTAAATATAATATGAAGCATCCTCTTGGCCACAGACCATACCACAGTCACAAAGTGGCATGCACATACATAGTGCCACTGAGGAATAAGACCATATTCAAAGAGAAAAGACTGACTTGCCAAGAGAACAGCAGCATTTGACCTAAAACACAGACCCAACCATTTATATAGCCCTCTCTCTCTCCAGAAGGTTTAAAGCTCTGTAAAATAAGCAGTACACTTCACAACAGTCACACGACTCTGAGAGCTTGACCCTTCTTTCTCCAATCCCTGCTTTAATATTCTATCTTTGGTTAGGGCAACTAAAAGTTTGTAATATGCTTAAAAGTCATGGGATGGGATCTTCATACTTATCTCTTCAGAAGCCATGAAAGAAACTGTAGGAAGTTGTTCTTCTAGCTAAGCTTTCTATGCAGTGTTCTTTAGATAGTGACTTCTTATCTTTCTGTTTGGCTATCAATAAACAACCACTTACTCATACAGTATTCTCTCAATATTCACAGATGAGTATGCAGGAGTATGAATTAATAAATGATGAGAAAGAAGATGAAAGTTGCCTACAAAAATACCGTAAGCGCTGCATGCAAGATATGCACCAAAGGCTGAGTTTTGGGCCTAAATATGGCTATCTGTGCGAGCTGCAAAATGGAGAACAGTTCCTGGAAGCCATTGAAAAAGAACGTAAAACTACCACTGTCATTGTTCACATTTATGAAGACGGCGTGAAGGGCTGTGATGCTCTGAACAGCAGCTTAACCTGCCTTGCTGCTGAGTACACTACTGTGAAGTTCTGCAAGATCAAAGCCTCTAATACTGGGGCTGGAGATCGCTTCTCAGACGAAGTGCTTCCCACTCTGCTCATCTATAAGGGCGGAGAGCTTCTGAGCAATTTCATCAGCGTTTCTGAACAATTCAATGAGGAATTCTTTGCTGTGGATGTGGAATCTTTCCTAAACGAGTATGGGTTGCTACCTGAAAGGGAGCTTCCAGCACTGGGAAATGTCAACACGGATGAGCAAGATGTTGAATAGAAAGCCATAGTCCTCGCTGCCTTCCCTTTCTCTCCTGCACATTATATATCATTCTCAGTAATACCCACCTCATTTAGAGAAGGCTGTCATTGCTTCCTAAAGAATTTCTGATATATGCATATTTAAATACTCCTTAACTATTAGCATGTGAATTTTTAAGCAAAGCACATACAACAGCCAGCAATGTACATAGTTATTTCTACACCAGGCACAAGTAACAGGAAGAACAAGAGATGATACTGGTGATCTGCAAGAAACTAGGCAAGCACAAAATTAAAAATCAAGGGCCTGAGCAGGTCTCTGCTATGCACAAGAATGACTTCACATCAATAGGAACAGAACTGATCCGTGCCTGTGCATACAAGAAAAGCCATCTCCATCATCAGAAATTATGGAGAGTCCTGGCTCCACAGATTCACTTTCCCAACTACTTTCAGTAGGAACAAGACTTAGTCAATTCATTTAGTTTTAAGGGCAAACAAATAGCCTGAAGCCCTTGCAATCTTAAATGGCTTAGGTACCTAGGACACTGCTCCATTTTCCGCATTTAAGTCTCAGTAATTGTGAAAATACAACAGTTAACACAAACAACCTACCAGCTAATTTCAGTTCATCGTTTCTCCGTGTTTTGAACTGTATTATTTAAAATATTTGCAAGCTACTGAAAAAGTATATTGTGCTTATGTAATAACTCTGAATAAAGCTTAACAGCTTTCAAAAACTGCCATGAGAAGTGCAAAATATGTTTTTAATCTGTAACGTTAAAAATGTGGGAAGTATCAGAAAGCGCTCATTTATTCAAGTTTTTATCTTTAAAGAAAAGGATACTGCTGATAACAATTTTAAAACTGATTTCAGGAAGACACTTTGTAGATTCCCTACACATCTTACTCACTGCTTCTCTGCACCATGTGAAGATGTTCCGCTTTTGCAGCAAGACATTAGTAAAGTTTCAATAATTTCTTTTGCTAAGTGGCAAATCTGAAGGCTAAACTTTACTCTAAAAACAGAGATATCTGCATCTTAACTGCAGTTTTGCTGATAATGTCTGATATTACCAAAATCTTCTGGCACTCATCAGATTCACTTACCAGTTTCTATTTGATTTGCTAGCTTCACATTTTGACCACTTTAGAGTGAGAGATTCAGTTTTTCTTCAGGTCAGGATTCCATCATGGAAATGTCTCCTTGTGAGAGCCTGAACATGGATCAGTGCGAATGTACAATTCAGCATCAAGGAGCTATGAGATATGGTTTAGAGGCTTGTGGTAGCAGTGGTAATGGGAGGACGATTGGACTAGATGATCTTGCAGGTCGTTTCCAATCTTGTGATTCTATGATCAAGGAACTATTGCTGTGCTCTAACCCACGCTGCATGACTTAAAAGCAGGCTCCTGATCACTCTTTTGAACACATTTTTTTCTACTTTTCATTCATATAGAAAATTCACAGGGTAAACCAAAGTTACACCACTTTCCAACAGATCTGCACAACAAAATTATTGTACTTTAAAAAAAAATAAAATTCCCCTGTAAAAACCTGCTGTAGCAAGATAGCTTTTCAAATAAAATGGTTAGAACAAAACTTCGGATTCGTTTTAAAAAGCGTCCACTTTTAATGGCTATCAAAATATTTCTGAATTTATTTTCAAAATTGTTTTGCCATGGATTTATGTTTTAACAGAGTATTCAAAACCTTACCCTGCATAAATTAAGCAATAAGAATGAAGTTTCATATCTTAACAACACATCAGCTCCTTTAAAATGTGAAACAATGCAGGATTTTATTCCCCCAGGAGGTCAAAGACTATCTTCTCAAAATTTCATGAGTTCTGTGTCATAAATTTCTGAAGAACCAACAAATACACAATACCATACATTTTTCTGACAGACCCCTGATTGGGATAAAACTGGCAGCAGTCTTTTTCCTTAGACCAGACCCTTCCTCTCTTCATCAAGCATGATGCTTACTCCTCAGTTACTAGCATCTTCATTTCCTCTTACTGTTGCATTTGCATCAGCATGCCAACTTTTCAAAAAGCTACAAATTATAGATACACCTACTATCACATGATCATATAGAAGGTTATGCAGAAAATAATCAATTATATTTTGTCCATCACAAATGCAGCTAGCTTCCTGTGTATCAAGACATTTATCTTGGGTTTGGCTGTTTTTGTTTTTTGTTTGTTTGTTTGTTTGTTTTGGGTTTTTTTGGTTTTTGTTTTTTTTTTTGTGAAATATTTGAAACAGGAGGTATAAAAGATTTTTGTAATCCACACACGGGAAAGTCTCCAAATAATTGGTTGGAACTGAACACTCTTGAGAATTCTTCCTTCTATCAAACTTAATTCAAAAGTTGGTAGATGAACTTAAGCAATCTAATCACATAAGCTTCATTTCTTTGAGAAATCAGACTGAAAACAAAACCCCTTTACAAACAGTAACCATCCCAGAAAATGCATTAATAGCTCGCTGTAAGAAACAAGCTGACACTCCAATTTAAAAGACAGATTAAACATGCTTAAGCAGGATTTCTGTCAATCTGTAGTTAAAAAAAGAAAGAGAAATGTGACACCAAGCCTTAACAGCTCATGACTAAGTTTCAAATAAAGTTCTGATCACATCCTTATTTCTGCTAGAAAAGAAAAAAAATAGAACCTTGAAAACATAAAGCAAGACTTGACTCAAACACCACCAAAGGTTCTTGAATAGCAAGCAGCAAATGTTTCAACAATACAATGGGAGAACCCTTTCTGCTTCCTAAATATGAATTTATTCTTCCGTTTGACTCAAAATGGCAGGAACCCTACTGTGTTCACATACACTGCTTCAGACAAAAATGAAGGTGGGAAAACTATCAGTGGTGTCTCTGATGACTAGATTAAAGACAGAAGCTCTAGAAGGAAGGATCACATCAAAATAATACTGTTTAAAAGTGAAGTATTTCATATTTCATAGATTTAAACAATGTAAACAAACAAACAAAAAACACAATAATAAAGACAAGCAGAGAAATAAAGTTTGTATAAAATTATTCCATAACTTCAACTTTACAACTAACAACTACACCTGAAGAAGACAAATATTCAGACATGGAAGTCTCAAAAGCCCCTCTAGACTCCTGCACATTAAAATAAAAATACGTTCTTATCCAGGGATAAGGAGTTAAACATCTCAGTTTCAATCACAATGGAATTTTCACAAATTGTAAGCTTTAGGAGCTTACAGTCAGAAAAAGGACGTGCTTATGTAAAACCTGAGAAAAAGTTAAGAAACAGTCTAGTAATAGACTTTAAAAGCTTTTAATTTTCCTTTAAAAAAAACCAGTATCTTAGGTTGTCAATGGCTAACAGTGGAAAAGGGATGGGAAGCAGAAGACAGTGAAATCATCTTGATCAGTTCTGTAATTCTTAAACAAGCGAGAATCTGCTTTCTTCTACATCCACTGGTTCTCGCAGCACAACGACTGGAAGGTTCAATCTGTAGTTACAAGACAAATTACTCTTTTTTTCTTGGACAGGGCTAAACTGTTTTTGTACTGCAAAGATGAAGTCTCCTGTGATACAAAGCAGAGAGCTTATCCAGAGGAACTTTGTTCTTTGCGTTTCAATATCGAAGTGAGGTATTAGACTTCCACAGATCCTTGATACGTAAAAAAGATTAATTTGATGGTCTGTGATAACACTGTAAAGAGTATTTACTATACCCTGAATGTGCCTGCATGTGCAAAGGGTAATAGAATTCTTCCCTAGGTGATCCACAGAACATCTAAACAAGCTGTACTTTTTACACAACTGCCAAACAAAAAAACTATTGGAAGAGCATTTCATCACTATTTTCCTCTTGGGTGTAACGTAGCACCTGCAATGTTGTTCTTCCCATCCTTTGTGGAGTTGTGAGCAAAGCAGCTACAAAAGAACTGCTTTGTAGTTTTACTTCCATGGAGGCACTCTGCAGTTAAGAACACTTCTGTTTACAAATCAGATGGGCTGTCTGAGACTGAAGAAGAAAACTTAAAACAGTGTTATAGAAACAGTCCCTTTTTCGGCTTTCCTTCATGGTGCTGTATATAGAAATTGCAAGTAAACCTGGGTGAGAGACAGGCAAGTCAAGCAAAAGACTTGCAATTCATTGACTTTGTTGTTGGTACAAATATTCTATCTCATACAGAATGATTTAACCATGAAGTGAATCAGACAAATAGTCACACACACATATGAATATCAAGCAAATACAAGTTTAAAAGTGTGACTGTTTAAAATGCAAGATGTTACTTCTATGAAACCAAGCTTGAGTCCTATCGAGATCTGAGCAAGAATGAGGAAACAGGACAAGGATATTAAACAAAAAAAAAAGAAAAAAAGAGAGTGATAGAGAGAGAGAGGGAGAGAAAACCTTTATTCTTCCCATTACTTCTGTTCCCTTATAATACTCTCTTTACTCTGCTACAGCAGAGTAATTTTTAGACCAACCATATTATAAAGCATATTGGTAAACTCATCTCATTTTCTGGCAGCACTCAATTTCTATTTGCACAGAATATGACTCATCTACAAGCTATGCAGCAGTTGATGGACTTACCTGAAAACAGTATCTTCAATTATAGCCTTCACTTTTCCCTGAGAGGCCCTACTTGACAATACTGAGCACAGAGGAGCTGCATTCCACAATAAGTTACAAAACTAAAAGTAGATAATTTTACCAAATATGTGAAAACAGAATACACAGACAAGGTAAGAGGATTTCAAATGCATACATCCCATTCTTGCTTTTTATTGAAAGTATTCAAATACATACTTACATACTTGATTATGTTTTAGAATCTAATCTTTAAGTGTTCCTGTGGCTTTACACTAAAAAGAAACCTGCAGTGATATTTAACTGTGCTCAAATCTGAAATTCCATTCTACTATGATTCAGATCCAAGCAAACATCACGTTTCATATATGAATTACCTTTATCAACTTTACAAGAACTTTTCCTTCCCCCTGCATTCCT